ATATATATATATATATATATATATATATATATATATATATATATATATATATATATATCACACAGAAACTGTATTGGAGGGGATCTAAACATTCCCTCTAATGCGTTATGCGTGGTTTTCTCCGAGGCTATGGGTCCCCCTTCTTCCAGCTAGAGGTGGTACTCCCTTCCATTTTTTATTTTATACAAAATATATATATATATATATATATATATATATATATATATATATATATATATATATATATATATATATATATATATATATATATATATATATATATATATATATATATATATATATATATATATATATATTAAAAGAGTTTGTGAGGGTACCACCTCTGGTGCCAATGTGGGGACCCATAGCCTCGGAGAAGAAAATAAAAAGTATATATATATATATATATATATATATATATATATATATATATATATATATATATATATATATATATATATATATATATAGATAGATAGATAGATATCAATAATGGTAATAATATAGTTACTGGGCACATAGCCTAACACCAAATACTGACACATTTATATATATATATATTCTCTCACTAAATGATCATATTAAAGTCTCATGAAAGACATTATCAACACAGTAAATTCATCAATTACTCCGGGTGTCTGCACCCACCAATAATAGTAATAAATTCCGTGAGTACTCTATATAGCCCCACTCTGCACACTGGTGCCTTACTGTGACATGGGTGAGCCCTGCTCACGACATACAAAATACTCTGGCTAAATAATATAGCTGACTAAAGGGGAATTTGGGAGGGAAACTAGAATCACCTACTTCCACCTATCCTCCGGTGAGAGTTGAGTTGTAGCTCCTGGTCCAGGCTCCTGCCTCGTGTAGGGAACACCCCCACACACACCCTGTCGTGTCCTCCAGGAACCCAAATCAACGTCCCAAAATAAACGCGTCGTCTCCGTGTTCTGTCCTCCGCGGGTCCGTGCCGCTCCTCCACGTCTTGTAGGGTTGGAGTCGGTCTCCCGGCCGTCAACTTCTCCCAACTACGGCTGCCTGCCTACGTCTCGGCTGCAGTCGTTCGGATTCCCGATTAGTGTCTTCTTTCACTGCTTCCCAGTGGATTGGCCCAGTCGCTACGTCGTCACTGTAAAGCTATCAGACGTCCCAGACGATACTGCCTAGACTTCACCTGCACAGCACCCGACCCTGGAACACTTGATGCTCAATATTCCATCAATTCCCTCTTCGGTCCACACATGGAATGAAGGAAGACCTCCCAGCGTACTGGCAGACTACGGGTGACGCGTAAGATCCACGGGAGTGGCGTATTACTGTCAGATTGACAGGATCAACCTTCACACATCCGTCCACCTTGACGTGTCGTGTCAGACTGATTCCCTCACGGAGGATTGGCCCAGCCATTACGTCATCACTGTGAAGCTATCAGCCGTCGCATACGTTGCTGCCTAGACTCCACTCTTGCACAACACCTGTCCCTGGAGCACTTGTTGCTCAATATTCTGTCAATTCCTTCTCTGGTCCAACACATGAACGAAGGAAGACCCCACAGGTGCCGGCAGACCACGGGTGATGCGTAAATCCTCCGGAGACGGGGTAAACTGTCCAACTGACAGGACCCCCCCAGCGCACGTCCGACCTCCTTGACGTGCTGTCTTAGACTGATGGCGCCAGAGTCGCGCTCTGACCGGGCCCCCCTTCCTTCGTGACGTCATATTCGCCATGGGAGGTTTTCATTGGCTCCCTGTGCCACGTCGCTGTCGGTGACCAATCTGGTGTCACTGACGTCACACAGTTTTGGCGGCAAGACAGAGTAGCCAGCGCCATATTGGCTTCCTAAAGGGAATAAACCACAGCCCAAAATACTCTTCTTTTACAAATTTCTCGATACCTCGAGAACACTACACTCTCCCACATATATCAAACTGATGTCTGCGACGTAGAGAACGCTCGGGTAAAGTGGACATGACTCTTACAGCAGGCGTGGGAGAAATATAAGGGAGGAACACCGTCACACCTGATACGTCAAAGATTTTGAAAGTCAGAGTAGTTAAGTTGAAACTCGGCAAGTAAAAGGAAAACAGACATGGCATAAAGAGCGAGACGTCACTCCCCTGCAGACACTCATTGATAAGTACTGATAAGTAAGTACACTTCTCCCAGTTCCTTCCTCCACAACCCTCTTCCTTACACGGCAACAGAGAGTACTACAGAGTGAGACAATAGGGCTGTGCAGCATATCTACGCAAACAAATAGGCAAGAATGACTGGTTCACAATACCCCGTCCCCCTAACAGATACAGAAATACACATGAAAAAGTACTCGTCGGGAAAAAAACGTAAGCAGCCCATTTGTCACGAGTAGCATAAAACAAATGAACACAAATGAAGATGGAGTTGCTAATACAAGAAAAGAGTTACAGGAAAGAGTGGCAAAAGTACAACTGCATATGATCCCTATAACGGAAACGAAACTTACAGAAGTTATAGGAAATACAATCTTTCCACAAGAGAATCAAGTAATAATGAGAGATAGAATGCACATAAGGGGAGTTGGTGCAGCTCTGTTGTTACAGTTACACTAGAGCTCTGAAGAACTTAAAATAACAGAAGGATATGACCAGCAAGAGAATGTACTAGTAATAACAACAGTAGGAAGAGTGAAGATAGTGGCAGCAGTAATACAGGTGTATATACCCATCAGGGAGCCGGTCGGCCGAGCGGACAGCACGCTGGACTTGTGATCCTATGGTCCCGGGTTCGATTCCGGGCGCCGACGAGATACAATGGGCAGAGTTTCTTTCACCCTATGCCCCTGTTACCTAGCAGTAAAATAGATACCTGGTGTTAGTCAGCTGTCATGGGCTGCTTCATGGGGAGTGGAGGCCTGGTCGAGGACCGGGCCGCGGGGACACTAAAATAAGCTCCGAAATCATCTCAAGATAACCTCAAGATCCTCGACCAGGTGTATATACCCATCCTAGAGCAGATGTATATTACCATCCTGAAGCAGGTGTATATAACCATCCTGGAGCAGGTGTATATAACCATCCTGGAGCAGGTGTATATAACCATCCTGGAACAGGTGTATATAACTATCCTAGAACAGGTATATATAACTAACCTGAAACATGTATATATAACCATCCTTGAACAGGTGTATATACCCATCCTTGAACAGGTGTATATACCCATCCTGGAGCAAGTGTATATACCCATCCTGGAGCAAGTGTATATACCCATCCTGGAACAGCTGTATATACCCATCCTGGAACAGCTGTATATACCCATCCTGGAGAAGTGTATATTACCATCCTAGAGCAGGTGTTTATAACCATCCTTGAGCTGGTGTATATTGTTATGTCTCGTTCACACCGCTCGTTGAACTACTGGGTCAATAAAATACGTTGCTCTCTAGGGGTCATTGAGAGATAAAACCTCGTATCAAAAAGGCGTTCAACCAGGGTGCCTCATCAGTACGTCACATACAAGAGTAATTAAATTATTTCACCAGGTTACAAATAAACACACATGTATATCAAATATTTGTATAATATAAAATATGTATATCTATCAAAATAATATTATCCTTCAGGTATAATAGTAATCAGATGGCCTACTAAAGTATTATAATGTAATAAAGTATGCTCGCCAGATAATTGTAACTACTAAGACAAAATACAGAATATAAAACAGAGAAAGCTTATCACACCAGTTGCCGTGATGTCCCGTTCTCAGATACTAACTCAACTGGCCTCGGAAGCCCCTCGCTTGCGCTCCCTCACAACATAACGAATGGTAAATTTATATAAAATTAACTTATTTAAATGAGCTATATAACTGGGCTAAAGCAAACATTAGAATAACTTAAATATGAATAGTCAGGTTGACATGCATCAACAGAGGTAATGTATTTTATATAAAACAAATATATTTGTATATAATAATAAATAGGAAACTCCTGGCAACTACACAACTGAACAAGATCAAAGTTTATAATCACGAAACTTACAGGTCCTGGACGTGTGACTAGATCGCGCACCACACTCCTGTTCAACTGTGTTGCCAAGATATATGACACATTACACAAATATATATACAAGCCTTCATGCAAGAACAAAATATAATCAATATTATATTGTACATTAAGGTGAGTATTCCTTAAATAGGAATACGTAACATATATAACCCTCTTGGAGCAGGCGTATATAACCCTCCTGGAGCAGGTGTATATACCCATCCTGGAGCAGGTGTATGTACCATCCTGGAGCAGTTGTATATAACCATCCTGGAGCAGGTGTATACCCATCCTGGAACAGGTGTATATACCCATCCTGGAGCAGGTGTATATACCCATCCTGGAGCAGGTGTATATACCCATCCTGGAGCAGGGGTATATACCCATCCAAGAACAGGTGTATATAACCATCCTGGAGCAGGTGTATATACCCATCCTGGAACAGGTCTATATACCCATCCTGGAGCAGGTGTATATACCCATCCTGGAGCAGGTGTATATACCCATCCTGGAGCAGGTGTATATACCCATCCTGGAACAGGTGTATATACCCATCCTGGAGCAGGTGTATATACCCATCCTGGAGCAGGTGTATATACCCATCCAAGAACAGGTGTATATAACCATCCTGGAGCAGGTGTATATAACCATCCTGGAGCAGGTGTATATACCCATCCTAGAACAGGTGTATATAACCATCCTAGAACAGGTGTATATACCCATCCTAGAACAGGTGTATATACCCATCCTAGAACAGGTGTATTTAACCATCCAGGAGCAGATGCATATACCCATCCTGGAGCAGATGTATATACCCATCCTAGAACAGGCGTATATAACCATCCTGGAGCAGATGTATATAACCATCCTGGAGCAGATGTATATAACTAATAACAGTTTAATATGTAAATAAAATATCTCTGAAATGACCTTAGATTTTCTAAAACGAGAAAGTTCGTTTTCTGTGAATCATCAGATGTGCAGCAAGAGCGAGATGGAGCAGATTGCTTTAAAGATGCTGGACAAGGCATTCAAGCCCGGGCAGGAACCCCATCAGGTCATCGCTGTATACAATGAGTGGTGCAAGACCTATGAAGAGGTTAGTAAGAATTTCCATTTTTGTTCATAATACCAATATATGTTGTTTAGGTAATCTCTTTCTTAGGCAGAAGATTCTGCCTGTTCCCCTTACTGCCAATTCATCAACGTATCTGCATGCACCAACATAGGGAATCAACATCAACAACAACAACAATATGTGCACTGTGTCTATACACACACCACCCACCTCTACCCTCTAGTACCCAAGACTCCTGGACACCTGCTGTCTGGGCAGCAGGTGTTCAGGAGTCACTCAGCCACTCACCCAGCGCCACTCACTAACTACTTGTTTAATTGCCCGCTGATGGTTACCCCACAACATCAGCGCCATCTATGCTGGCCCGGCCCGCATATATAAGGAGCCCACCGACGTTCAGTCCTCGACGGGAGGCATCTCCCATCATGCAGGGTGCAGTCGCACCTCCACAGATCTCCAGTATCATCTATTGATACTGGAGATCCACAGATCTCCATTATCATCTATTGATACTGGTAATAGCTCAAAAGGGCAACCACTTACGGGCTATTCGTGCCCGTGTCACCTTTCGGGTGGCTTAATCTTCATCAATCGTCAATCAATAGGACACATTGAACGGGAGACATCTCCCGTTCATCTACCATCTATCAGCTGTTGATACTGGTAATGGCTCAAAAGAGCCACCACTTACGGGCTATTCATGCCCGTGCCACCTTTTGGGTGGTTTAATCTTTATCAATCAATCAATCGTTCAGTCCGGGTGGGAGAGCTCATAGCACTTAAAGCACTGCTGGATCTCATGGTATCGTTCCTTTTTTATTTGGTGGGGTGGTATTTTTAGGCCGAAGTAGTAGAATCCTTGTGTGGCAGCCTGGGTGGCCGCAGCTATGGTGGTGAACGTAATCTTCATTGATGTTTTGTCGGTGTTACAGAACTCTGGGTTGAATCTTGAGGTTATCTTGAGATGATTTCGGGGCTTTAGTGTCCCCGCGGCCCGGTCCTCGACCAGGCCTCCACCCCCAGGAAGCAGCCCGTGACAGCTGACTAACACCCAGGTACCTATTTTACTGCTAGGTAACAGGGACATAGGGTGAAAGAAACTCTGCCCATTGTTTCTCGCCGGCGCCTGGGATCGAACCCAGGACCACAGGATCACAAGTCCAGCGTGCTGTCCGCTCGGCCGACCGGCTCCCCTGAATACCGACAGGTTTGGATTTTCGTCCTCTATATTGTTTATGATATGATGTTGAGGTCGCTCAGCGATCCACCGGCTGGTCCTGCTGGTAAAAACAGTTCTTCTGGCCAGGAACTGACGTGGGAAGTGAGGATGTAGGTAGTGCTCTTTGCGAAGAATGGCATCGTTAGTGAGGAGTTTTTCTAGCTCCTCTTCACATGAAAAGTAGAGCACGATATCTTCACCTTCCTGACTAATGTCAGCGGGTTTGAGGCCAGTTACGTCCTTCAGGACCTTTAAAGTATTGCTTCTTCCGATAGCATGACCTTCAAGTGGAGTCGCTCTAACCTTAAGACGTTTGGGTCGCATTGTGACCACACTGCGCCTTGTGATATGTTGGCGGGAGATGTCTACCGTCCTGTGTGACCCTCAGACGGCAGCTCCAGACCCACAGACGGCAGCTCCAGACCCACAGACGGCAGCTCCTGACCCACAGACGGCAGATGTTGACCCACAGACGGCAGCTCCTAACCTATAGACGGCAGCTCCAGACCCACAGACGGCAGCTCCTGACCCTCAGACGGCAGCTCCTGACTCACAGACGGCAGCTCCAGACCCACAGACGGCAGCTTCTGACCCACAGACGGCAGCTGTTGACCCACAGACGGCAGCTCCTGACCCACAGACGGCAGCTCCTGACCCACAGACGGCAGCTCCTAACCCACAGACGGCAGCTCCTGACCCACAGACGGCATCTGCTGACCCACAGACAGCAGCTCCTGACTCACAGACGGCATCTTCTGACTCACAGAGGCCAGCTCCTGACCAACAGGAGACTTTCCTTAACCTACAGACTATAACTCCTACTGGATTCGAATCTGCTTCCGGGAACATCCAAGACGCTGCCCCTTAACATGCTAGGGATATAATATCCTTTCTTCCCCACAGGCGCATGTAATTTTGAAAAAAAAAATTATTTTTTCTTCCTAACCTGTTAATTTGTGTTCACTGATCACGGGAAAAATAATAAAAAAATCGTAAGTGGCATATATTGGCCGCTATAGGGCGGGGAAGTCTGGCAAAAAATAGGCGCCGACTCAGCGTGCGTCCCAGGCGGTCTGTTGATCGCCAGCTGTCAGGCCGGAGTTGCCACAAAGAGATAATTACCTAATTATTTCAATGTCTCTGATTGATTTTTCATAGTTTTTTGCTGTAATATTATTCAATAGTGTGTAGTTTGATATATTTATATAATAAAATGAGTGAATCATTGCTGTACTCAAAAATATGGTGTGCATATTGTTGATTCAATTATGTTCATCAATCAATGAACAAATACTTTGTCGGTTATTACACTATAAGCACAGGTTATATATAAGTATCTGCATGTTTTGTTTACCATAACGAACCACTAAGTAGCTATTATGAGTCAAAAAGTAACGAGGAGTGACCGCCGTGTACCAGCCAGCCACTCATGCCCTCCCTCAAGTCATCTGACTCACCAACATTCTCCTCCCACAATACTGTTTTTGCTTTTATTCGCTATATACAGATGTTATATATAAGTATCTACATTCGTGTTCACCATAACAAGCCACTAAGTTGGTATGCTGAGTGGCAGTGGCAGCCCAACACTGGCTGCCACTCCCTCCCTCCCTCACCTCACCTGACTTGCCACCATTCTCCACCCACCATACTGTTTTTGCTTTTATATACAGGCGTTATATATAAGTATTTACATGTTTTGTTCACCATAACTGTACATCTAAGCTTGTATGGTGAGTAAAGGCACAAAGAAGTAGGACCTCACACAGTCAGCTGATGGCTGCCGCCCTCAAGGCCAGACGCACTAATATTTCTCCTCCAACAATACTGTTTGTGGTGTTATTAAACTATATACACACATTATATATAAATATCTACCTGTTTTATTCACCATACTTGTTCAAGTAAACTGGTATTTGTGCCCAAAGACCATCGTGGTAACCAGTAAACAACACCTTCGTCTGCACGGGGGCGTCGTGCAGACGACGCTGCTGCCCTCACCAAAATGGCGGCTCCCAAACTTCTCTTGCTGTTTATACCCTCTATACACACGTTATATATAAGTATCTACATTTGTGTTCACCATAGCGAACCACTAAGCTGGTATGGTGAGTGCAGTCAATAAAAGGTGGCCACACACAGTCAGAAGACATCGCCACCACCCTCCCTCCCACAGCATTACTCCTCCCTCCATGGCGCACAGCGCTAAATATCACCACAATCCTGCTATTATCAGAACCCTGGTCAGTTTTATCAGTCAGGGGGTCTTCTATAATAATATCATCACTACATAATAGCATGAACAAGTATATTATGGCATTTTTAGGCGATGCTGTGGTCACAAGCTGAACAGCAGTGCTGTTAGCTCATGCTGCGTGCATCAGGCTTGGTAGCTCACTCAATACTGAGGCCAATAACACCCGGGAGTTTGGCCCACGATTTTTTTTTTAAATGGCGTCTGTTTACAAGAGCCCTGATGAAGGTGTGGTGAACTCCGTGTATCCGCAGGCCTTTTAAATCTTGTGTAGTACTCCAACACGTCATATGACGTGATGCGCAGTTGACTGGAACAACTTCCAACACGTCATATGACATGATGCGCACTTTAAGGGTTAATCAACCAGGGACGATGAAGGCATGCAGACGTCATTGACCATTAGCGATGTCTGTGCAGGGTTATCTTGAGATGATTTCGGGGCTTTTTAGTTTCCCCGCGACCCGGTCCTCGACCAGGCCTCCACCCCCAGGAAGCAGCCCGTGACAGCTGACTAACACCCAGGTATCTATTTTACTGCAAGGTAACAGGGGCATAGGGTGAAAGAAACTCTGCCCATTGTTTCTCGCCGGCGCTTGGGATTGAACACAGGATCACAAGTACAGCGTGCTGTCCGCTCGGCCGACCGGCTCCTTTTCAGGGAGCCAGTCGGCCGACTCAGAGACACATCTGCAGGGTCACCGAGGTGACGAAATTAAAGTGCGAAGGGAGGCGGCCTTTTAATCCCCTTGAGTAAAATGGCAGGGGCTAGAAAGGAGCTGTTTAATCCACCCCTTTGACAAATTATATATGATGGAAGGTCGAACTCAATAAATGAATGAAAATATTAGGAGACTACGAGGTACTGAGGAATAAAAATACAAAAGAACGGACTATGCCCTGCGAAAAAAATGAAAACACCCCGTGAACTAAGCCCAGCAGGGGACCGGGCATCGCGGGCCGAAAAATGTCCGGACCAGAGGTCTGCAGGTCCATTTTTTCGGTGAAACCCAAATGCCAGAGGTCTGCATGAGCGTTTTTTCGGTAAAACCCAAGGGCCAGAGGTCTGCAACTGAAAAAATGAAAATTACAGACCTCTCGCCTGGTTTCCACTACTACTGAGAAAGATCCTGATACATAACCACAAGCATCCAATCAACTGACAACAGTGCTTGATACGTAAGTACCAGCTTCTGATATACTGACAACATCTGATAACAAGCCACCAGGGTCCGATCCACTGATAACAGCTCCTGATACATATAAAAGCACCAGCTTCTGGCCATTGATAACAACTTCTGATACCTAAGAACCAGCTTATGATCCACTGACGATAGCTCCTGATACTTCAGATCCGGTTTCGTATCCACTGACAACAGTTTATGACCCAATGACGCCAGCTTCTGACCCCATTGACGCCAGCTTCTGACCCACTGACAACAGCTCATGATACATAAACACTAGCCCCTGACCCACTGACAACAGCTCATGATACATAAACACTAGCCCCTGACCCACTGACAACAGCTCATGATACATAAACACTAG